AAAAATGACTCATTATTCTCACTTTCTCCGTCTATTACTATTACAAGTACTATAATTTATAAGGACAAATGGTAGAATTTAAACAATAAAAATAATACAGTAAAAAAAAAAAAAAAAAAAAAAAAAAATTCCAAATACTACCCATGTGAAAAAAAATGTTCTAATTCAAAGTTTATTGAATATAACTATAAATTCCAACATTAAATACAGGTATAATATTTTGTTCATGTCAGTCTAATGTTCGATACTAGAATTATTTGTTTATTTTTTAGAAGGAAAGGTACGTAGATTTAAAGATATTCATATCTCAGAAATAAACCATTAAAATCTATAAGTCTCCCTATCTCAGAACATGATACTTTTTTCAAAAAAAAAAAATTTTTTAGGGCTCATTTTCATTTATAGAATGTGTTTAAATTTACTCGCTTTGGTATCATAGATAGAATAATATGCATTTACAGGAATAATAAAGTGTGCATTGAAAATCTAGGACACCCTACATATGTAGTGAATAAATTAAATAAATAAGATAATGTGTTATTTAATTTGAATGAAAGGAAGTACATGTGATTAATTTAAAAAAATAAACCAAGATTGATTGCAAAATGAAATTAATTAATTATTTCAATAAAAGAATAAAATAAAATCATGTAAGTTGAACCCAAATTCCTTTACTAGGAATATTTTGGTGCACCACAAATATCATGTAAAAACCAGGGGGAGCTATGTTAGTGGACCTAGGTGTGACAATCTTGACTTTATAATGGCCCAAACCAATAGGCATTATTGGCCCCTTTTTGGTCAAAACTAACATTCTTTGGCTCATAGAAAATGAATGTGTGTTAAATGGAGGTCTTAGCATGGTAACCTTTATTGAACCTGGCTTAATCAACCCTGAAACTGAGAACTTGATTGTAAAATTTTTCCTGTACTTGATCTTACCACCTAAGTTTTGTGTGGTTATAACGGGTCTAAGCCGTGTTTTCGACGAATCCAAGTATGGTGGCGAAAATGTCTCTAGGCTAAGTTCGGTAGGGAAGAGCACATTGGTGAAGTTGTAGTAAGCATGAGGATTACTTCCACCTACTAAAACACGACCGTCTCGTAACAAAATTGCACATGAATGATACATCCTAGGGATTGTAGCTGGAGTTTGTAACTCGAACCTTGATCCGGGAGCTTCATTTGGGTGGTAGATCATGGGAGTTAGGACTGGCTCTCGGCCTAACTCCCACCCTGCAGTACCTTTCCCTGCACCGTTAATTATTAAGACATCTCCGTTGGGAAGGACCACCATGTCACTCATGACTCGAGCCATTGGCATAGTCTCGATGGTCCAAGTGGGGGTAGGATCAGTATACCTCATACGTGCACACGTGTTTAGAGCTGGCAAAAACTTGTGCGAGTTTAATGCTTTTAAGTATGACCCCGCGGGTGCACCTCCACATATCAACACTTCCGCTTCGATTTTATCCAACCCCATCTCTAAATTCTTCAAAGGCAAGAGAACTGCTGACCCCGTACTTGGGTAGCTTCGAGGGTCACCCCCTGGGATAGTAGGGTACGTTCGAACAACTTCGTTTTTAGTATAATCGAATAGAATGGCTCGATTGTTAGCAAAGATGAACAAGTTCCCGTCTACATGAAGGAACACGAAAGGGTACAAGTTGTTCTCGGCTTTGGGATCAGTGGTGTCCTTTAAGAAGGGCATCGTAAAGAGTTTAGAGGATGAAGGTGTTGTTTTAGGATAGAATTCGTAGTTAAAGGCTTTTGTACCACCCATAATTATCATTCTTCCATCAGGCAACGCGTGGTTAGTAGCATACCATCGACTTTGCAACAATTGTTTAGGGATTTCTACCCAATCACATGTTTTACAAGACGGTTGGAATGTTCTAACTACTCGTTCCCCATCCCTGTACCCACCACTCTGTACGAGGGTGCCGTTGGGGAGGGTGGCGCCGGAGGAGCACCAATTGTTGGTTAGCACCGTGAGGGGCCGAAAAGTGTTGGATATAGAGTTGTATATTGCGGAGTGGGCTGTGCAATCTTTTTTGAAGCATTTGCCGTTGGCTAGGGTCAGGTTTGAAGGGCCGAAGTCAGTTCTATCATAAATAACGACACGATCATCATTTAATAGTTGCATATGCATGGCGGAAATGCCAATGCTTTTTTGTAAGAGATGCCATCGGCCTCCCCCTGCAGCAATTATACTGCGGGGGAGAAGGATAAAGAGAGAAAATAAGAGGAGGAGATGTGACATGACACCAGATAAGATAAGTTAATATAATATAGATCGAGTTAGAAAATAAATGTGAGGTGAGGTTTTTGAAGTTCTTGATGGTGAAATGGGAAAGACAATTTGTGGGATATATATACACAAACATGCATGTAAGAAAACAAGCCTATGTAAGAGAACAAATTTGGGGAGGAATGTTAGTAGTTAGTGATAGAATAAACCATATTATTTTTTAATTCATTGAACCATGTTCCTCATATAATACTATATGAATAAATAGTTTAGTTACGAGTAGTAGCCCATACATAGAATCCGAGTCCGTATAATTATGGGATTTTCTAAGGAGCATCAACAGTTTGATTATAGTTCATTATGCTGTGATTTTATTAATTAATATAACTTTTGGATGTTGAATGTTTATTTCATAATAACTGTAATCATGTAAACATGATAATAAATAGGTTTACGAATGCCATTAGATTAATCTGGATAGTGACTAGCTCGAGTTCGAGGAAGATGAGATTGGCGAGTCATCGTCATCACCCTTTCTTTTTCGAATTTAAAAAAGTTATTAGCCTACGGATTTATGAAGTATAATTTAACTGACTCATGTATAGTCGACACCAACACAAAAACCAATTCAATTCAATCAAACATGAGTTACATGGTTATTGGACAGTTTTGCAATAGCTACAATAAAATTGTGGCCACTATAATTGAGTGAATCTCAACCCTTTAATTAACAAGACTCGTCATATCCATTCATTTAGTTGACTTTTAAGATATGAAAAAAAAACCCATATAAAATCATCAGTAATTTCTCCACTCTAATTGGGAAATATCTGTTTAAGAAGGAATTCTACCGAATTTTTTTGATGAATTACCTCATCTATATTTGATGTTTTTTTAATTTATTTATCTTAAGATGATTGTTTACTTGAAAATTAAAAAATCTTTCGCGCACTGCTTTCAATATCTTCCATTCATTTCTCTGGTTTTGGTTTTGATTTTGCCACGATGACTCTAATCCCACAAAAATAAAGTGTCAGACATTAAATATCATATACAAACACAATTGTGATGGTCTGATGAACATTTCCTATGTTTGATCAATTGATCTTAGGAATCTTAGGAATTGCAGGTAGCATCCTTATTTTTAAAAAAATCAACTGGAAAAAAATGGAAATCCGTTTTGTGATCTATTATAAGTATATGAAAACAGTTTTTTTTTTTTTTTTTTTTTTTTTTTTTTTTTTTTTTTTTTTAAGTTGGATTGATGGACAAGATTGATCCACAAAAATAAAAGGTCAAGATTAACTAATACAATTGTAGCCATTGAAAAGTCTTCCCATGATTATTTGCCAACTCTAATTTTCATACATTGCACTTAATTCATTAGAATATGTAATGTTTTATGAAATTATATCAATCAATCAATCATTATATGTTATCTCCAGGTCTCATTACTCTTATTTATATATACACTAAGTACAAAAATGCAAAGAATAATATTATGCACATACATGTTTTTTAATTTTATTTGGTTTTGACAATTCAATCATCAGTAACAATTATTTGCATTCCTATGTTTACGGTTTACTGACATATTCAAATATTTAGTCAATGTTTGATATTCCAACTGCTAATAAACACCTCAAATACAGATTAAATGTACATGTAATAAATAATGTCAAAGTTGTTACTAATACTACGTAATATTAGCATAATTTTATCTACAACATATCAATAATTCAGTTATGTCCAACTGTCATGCCATGCAAAAATTCCAACGCTCATGCTAATATGCCATGCAGATCTTTATAAAAGATTTTCGATTTTTAATGTGAGTTGTGCTTAATTAGTTGAATATTATTAGGAAATTAAAAAAAATTCGCCCTTTACGGTCTTTACACGTGGATGTGTGCTATTTTTTTAGACCAAGGATTAGTCGTCTTGATATCATACTATGTATTCCAGTGAGTGATTATCAAGAATGTAAAATGTAACAATATGTAGTAGTTGACTTGAAAATGTATCCAAATTCGTTTACAACTTTGCTAACCCATAAGCTGGAGTTCTTTAGGGTAGTTCTACACAAAATTAACCATGATCAACTCTTGGAAAATACTACGTATAATTGTTTCTGTATGTTCAATCTAGGATGAACTCTGAAATGGTAGCAAGGGGCTAAACTTGCACGTTCATACCTTATCAAGGACTCCAAGTAACGCGTATACTACTGAACTTTGGGAAAATATGCAAAGATGCTATTGTATGTATGTACCATAGCTTGCTTAGTTTCATCGATAACAATCTAGAAACACCTCTCGTAATTGTGAGATGTGCCAATTAAGTTACCAGCCATGCAAAGGTGAATGTGGTGATGTCGGGCAAAGCAATGGTGAAGCAGCTGAGGAAAGAATTGCCAGATTAGAAAACGATCTGAAGAATATGTTCATGGGTGATAACTGAATATGTTCAGTGAGAAATCTGAACTTTAAATCAAAAAGATGTTAGATGCTAACTTCTTTTCAGCTGCAATAAGTAGTGTATATCAGAGTCTGAGTTTTTTTTGCACATGCTCATCTGTTTACCTTTCATGGTCTGGCTTCCTTTTTTTTTTTTTTTTTTTTTCCATATTTATTCCTTTTGTAAGAAGACATAGAATAACTGGTAAAAAGGAGATTCTTTTTCCTTTTATGCATTTTTGAAAAGTACTATTTTGTAATTTTTATCCCTCTTCTCACATACTCCGTATACATAAGAGTAAATTAGTTGTTACGAAAAAAATACATAATTTCAAAATACAGGGTAACTAATTTATATACAAAAACAACTCATCACTAGTAAATACTCTGTAGTCTGTAGTACTTAATCACCTATTGTAAGACATTCGTTTTAACAAAGAGAACAGCTGGGAGATCGGACTTGATTAGTTGATTACTAAAATAACCTATTGCACCACTTCGATTCAGTCAGTGTTTCTGAGGTGGATAAAGCTCCCATAGAGCAACTGTGGTGTCTTCTGATGAAGATGCAAGCAGCTTAGAGTCCCTAGAGAATGACACTGCATTGCACTGCAACAAGAAGAAGAGCAAGTTTTAGGATAAACAAAGACATACCAAACTAACAGTGACAAACTTAACAATCCAAGCAATTATGTAACAGCAAGCAAGACATACCAATGCACTGTGATACTTGAGTATAGCAAGAGCATTTCCTTTCCGATAGTTGTATATCCTGACTCTGTCAATAAACAAAGAGGATCACATGTAAGATGTAACTTCACAAAATGTTGATTCCAAGCAAGAAACCATTGATTAAGAAATACAAAATTACAAACTGATAGAAAAACTGTTTTTAAATCACTAACAATCAGCTTAACGGTCTAGCCTACTCCAAAGCTACTTGAATCTGACATTGCTATTGACTGGATTGAGACCAAAGAGAGCCAGGCTAGAGTCAAAGCAGGCTTGATAAATTTTAACAAATACTTATAAGGATCTCAAAAGGTTAGCGAAATTTTAGAAATAGGAATATTGTAAGAGAGAAATTTTAACAATTACTTTTGAGGATCTCACAAGGTCAAAAAAACTTGGAAATAGGAACATTTTAGGAGAGCATATCTTCCTAGTTGGAGTTTGTAGCGAAAGCTTGAGTTACTCAGATCAAGCTGAGTCACGAGCCAAGTCTGGAATGTCAACGAACAATACACTTGAACTCGAGTCTGGTTTGTTGTGAGTCAACTCGAGCTACCTGACGATTGAGCTCAAGCTCGGATTGATATAACCTTTACTCATAGTAAAGCATTACGAGAAGGGGATGGTAGTAAAATAGTAGTCAGTAGGAGTAATCAAGGCATTTACAAGCAGTAGCACAACATAAAAATGGGAGCAGGGAGGAGTGCATGCCACCAAATCAGCTTTTACTAAATGCTAGAAGATGGTCCATTCCTTGGGAGGAGTGCCACAAATTCCAAATTAAAGGTCCATGTCCCAAATGAGCTTTATATGGACCATGTGTCTAGTGGCCTGTCACCTTTCCCACAACATTTATCTTACAAACCCATTCATAACTGTTGCTTCACAAGGACAACCAACGCCTCCAATAGACATGCTTGAACATTGAAGCCTCACCTCTTGCATGTTACGGTTCAAGAGAAGTCAACTTCCCATATTAAACATTTTGACCCTCCTACAAAACAGCTCTTATCTCCTCCATTGCTACAAATGCTTCAGATGTCAGCATTGGAGCCAACACCCTTTGCAGTAAATTGTAAGACATGTTGCTACATAAATAGCCTTTACAATTGACACTGCTGGTTTATCATTAAAGAGAAGATGGCAGTGCCATAAAGGTTGATAGCAGTGACATAGAGGGTCTTCATCTCAATAATGAATATCTTCGGGAAAAAATAGCACACATCTTGGCTTATCCAAAATCCACCTAAAACCAAATCTATGTTTGGTGGTGTTGCTGGCCATTCTATATACAACTTGACAAATCAGAAAAGGTTTAATTGTCATTTTCAGGAAATTATAAGCTAATATATATAATTTTGTTTGACCATGCTTGATGTTTGTGACTTTGTGCTATTCAGATTAGGGAAGGACAAAATTCAGGTTAAGTTTGGCAGTGACAAACAGATGATATCTGGGCAGTTCTGTTCTATTCTTGTCTAACTAGAGCAATGCATCATATCTAAGAGTTGACTCAATGGTTTGGATTGAATGAAAATTAGTCATTCAAAAAGTCAGTCTGCCTATAAGATGCAACGCAGCTCTGAGCTGTGTACCTGTGTAGTGTAAAAGTGAAGATTGGTGAAATAGGTTGCATTGTAAAGTTAATTTTTCAGGGAGTAGCTCAATCGGTATAGGTAACAAGTTGTCACCAAAACAGAAGCAAGATGACTAAAGTGATGATTAGATTGTCAGAAGTAAAGGCAAATGTATGTATAACCAAGAGATCCAATAACAGGTTAAGATACTGACTAGATTCAACAACATTAACATATTAGTTAGAAAAGCACTCGCATAGGTTTTAAGCAGATTAAAAAGAAATTGAAAAGCAACCAACCTGCGGTCCCATCCAGCAGTAGCAGCAATTTTACCATCTGGCCGAATAGAAGTGCCTGCTATTCCAGGTCGCTCCAAGCTAATTTCTTTCCTGACCACACAAGTACCCTAAATAGAGTAGACAACGACATCACCTAAATCTCAATTTCAACAAAGAATTCGACAGCTATTATTGAAAGAAACATTATCAGACAAATTAGCAGCAGCAAGGGATACTAAGTTCCTTTTACGTACAGAACAAAAATTAATACTCCATATGATATACTTCCTCCGTTTTTTATTAGATGCATTTCTTTCTAAAAATGGAAGTTTCAATTTAGATGCATCACTTTTCCATTTAATTATAAATTCTCTCTATCTCTCTCCTATCACATGAACCCTCTTTATTTTCTCTCTATCTCTCTCTACTCCAAAAATTGCCTAGGAGTCCGCGATTACAAAAGTGATGCAACTAATAAAAAATGGAAGAAGTATCATCTTCCCATAAAAGTAAATAATACGTAGTAGTAGAAACTATCAAGAAATGAACGCTGCCAAACTGATAAAACATCATAAAGATACAATTAACTAGAAGCGGCAAATTGTCACAAGAATCTACTTATGACATTGGAATTTTAACGTTAGAGATCTTTAGAGCAAAACATCCTTTCTACTGTATGCACTACTAATCTAGCATACATCTAGATCTAATCAAATTCAGCCCCATATCATAGTCTGATGATGTTGTAGCAATCTATAAAACAGGGTTAGCTTGTCTATTGTATTGATCAATAACATGACTCCAACCTAATGTCTAGGAATAATAAAACAATATGCTCTTTGAAATATGAGACACATGATAATTATACATGACTGTAGCCTTCAATAGAATATAAACTGTGTACAGAATAAAGGAAATTACCATATCATAATCTGAATTAAACAGAAGGATCTTGTCGTCTGCAGCGCCGGCAACAACTCCTTGGCATGATTGATCAACTGCCAAGCTAATAACTGCATGCAAGAATTGGCACAAATCACACCTATTCATGGAAAATTACAAAATCTCCATGTCAGGAAGAGGGCAGCAAAACCTGGTTCTGAATAGTACTTTACAGAAGTCAAGGGTTTTGAGGTGTTCCTCATATCCCACCATGCCATAGTCCCGTCCTCGTAACTGTTGTATGCAAGTTATACGATATTAGTATAAGTACAATAAAAGGTTGAATTACAAGGAAAAAAAAAAAAAAAAAAAAACTCCATCAATCAGTAACTTCATAAGTTTAAATCCTTAACAGAAATCCATTGATGCCAATTACCCAGCTACTCTGAAGTCGTCAAAACAAAGCTCATCCAGCACTTAGAAAATAAGTATATCCAGAATTTAAGTAAAAGATAGGGAATAAATGCCCTTGTTTTGTTATATTTGATCATATTTTTTATGCTTTTACCCAGATTCTATGTTGAAAACACCCCAAAGCCTTTTAAAATAATTCCAAATACCCCCCCTCCCCCTCCCCCAGCCCTCTCACACAGGGTTTCAAATTCTATTTCCCGGAGAATCAAGACTCATTAAGAAAAAATTGATTTTTAATTATGTAACATAACAACCATTGAATCCTCCTTTGACATCATAATCACCATTGCAACCCCCTTCGCTCACCCCAAACCATGATACTTCAACTCTCCCTGCCCCACCCCCCAACCCAAATCCCAGTTGTCACACTATCTACATAGTATCACCACTAAATCAGACATTGGTGGTGGTGGTGGTGGTTGGGGGGACGGACTTGTTGAGATTAAAATTAGAAAGAAGATTGATCCAAAAGGCTTAGCAACGTAATTGTCTCTCATTAACTCAAATTAATGGCATAGGGATGAGAGAAACTGATGGGTGGACAACTTAACCTGTGGTCGAAGTTGAACAGAAAAATTCAGCATCTGGATTGTTAGTGGTTCAATTCGACCGTCAAATGGCTGGATCAACAAGTTGCAGGATAAATGAGCCACCAGAGAAGACAATTTTACAAGTGAATGAGCATCTGGTGAAAGATGGTGAGTTGGCAGAAGGAAGGAGATGGTGGAAAAGTTGAGAAGTGGTGGCAGTATAGACAGGAAAGGGAAGGGACAGAAAAGGAGTGAAAATATTTTTTTAGGATGAGTGAACTGAAATGGCGGTGTTAAAGAGTATGGGGGCTATTCCCTTCCTCCTAGTGAGCCAAAAGTTCCCTAAGAGTCTAAGACTAATGCCATTTCAGACTAAAACTCCACTCGTTGGCACAATACAACTGACACCAAAGGGGAGCAGGGTTTTAGCAAATTCAAGAATTCTGCAAGTCCATATTAGATTTAACCCACTCAAAAATTCATTTGTCTGTAACATGAACATTCTATCAAATTAGCAAATATACAAACATCTGAGGAATGACATAAAGCACCTGCAAACCACATAATTAACAAACCAATCCCCCCCCCCAAAAAAAAAAAAAAAAAAAAAATTAATAATAATAATAATAATAATAACAATAATAAATAATAATAATAATAATAAAAGAGAGAAAGGAATATAAGAAGCTGAAAACTCTTTTGGAAGGGAGACCCATATTTAAAAAAAATGCCTTATAAGAAGAAAGTAATATGCCTTGAAAAGATTACTAGTATAAAGGGGAGAATGATGTGGAAAAAACGATAAGTATATCATGGCAGGATTTCCATTTATCAGAACCTATAATAAATCAAAAGAGAGCAGTAATAAAAACTTTTGAAAAGCATACCCAGCCAAGATATGTAAGGACCCTTGGCATTTAGATGGTACAAACGCTTGAACGGCCATGCACATTCCTGCAGGAGATATTCAGTTGCATTACAACATTAATCTGGAAAACACAAGTTAATCCCCAAACAAGACCAAAAGTGTGTATACTCAAAATGATTGCTGCTGAGGCTATAACAGAGAAATGAAGAAAATCTTGAAGGCCTCATCTTATGCTTAAGTGTGACCCCTGTGTGTTGGGACATAAGATGGGATTCCAAGTACAGGAGAAGGGCTTGCATGCATAAATTTCAGTCACTATAACATTAAATCAAACAGATTCTGCTGTGATCCTTTATTAAAGAAGAAAGCAAAGGAAGGCAAGTTACAAACGAAAATGGTGAAAAATATAACTCTGCAGGAAAAGAAGGGTTGAGGTTCAGCAGCTTAATATCACTTCTACTAACTCCTTATGGAAGCTTTTACTGAAGGAAATCACAATATCTTCAGCATCAACCATTCCTTTTTATTCTCAGTTTTCTATTATGCCCAGGTCCTGTTTGTTACATGACTGACCATGGAAAACTCTGAACCAAGAGAGAATATTGATTAAAAATGATGATATAATATACCTCTCATGTTTTCGGAATCACTCCCAACTCCATTTGAAAAACTTTGAGGAATTCTCGTACACCTTTCTGCAGTATTGAGATCCCAAATCTCAACCTTTTTCATATTAATGGCATCGATGTTGTAAATAACATAATCTATATAATACAAGAAGAAATATATTATTAAAGCAAAACACTCATCAACCTGAGAGGGTTGTTCTCCTGCAACTGCAACGTATTTTGGTCCTTCAATCTGCATATCATCTAGAGATAGAAAGCAAATGATTAGTCTTGCCTCACACATATATCCAACAGATAATTTAGAATAAGTAACTGCAATTTAAGAAACAATTTGAACCAAATTACAATATATCCATTCATAGCCATGTCTCATTGGAGGGAGGGGGGCATATAAAACATATGGAGTAGTTCGCAGAAGAAAAATACACAACTACCTCCATTTTAAAACAATGCAATTTAGTGCTTGATTGGTGGAAAATAATTAACAGAATCGACAATGATAAAAGTCGAATCTAGCCTACAATAAGTTCAAACGACAGATTACTAAGCGGCATTTTATATGACCAACTAGCGGTCGTGTACGGTTCCAAACATTATACAGACCCCGATATGCATCCCTTACATTCCCGAGATTTAGCGATACCGGGTCTCGAAACCTCTAAAATTAGTCCAAAAGTGTGGATCATAGCCTTCACTTTTGGACATGATTAGTCGGGGTTCATTATAGATCCCACGAAACCCCATGAGGTAAATTGGACAGTTGTAACCATCCACTTTGCCTTTAATAAGTAATTTAGCCATTTTCGTAAACACCTCCCTTAATTGACTTAAAGTCACCACGAGCTTTTATATGATCGACTAGTGGTCATATATTGTTCCAAACAGCATTATATGACCATAGGATGCATTCTTTACAATCTCGAAAATTTTCAGCACCAAGTATCAAAACCCCCAAAATTAATCCAAAAGCGTGGACAATATTGGACTTTTCCGCACCCGAAAAGAAATCTGGCCGGGTTTTTCCTATGGACCCCACGACAGTCCAAGAGGCCATTAGAGTGGTTGGCGTTGTCCACTTTGCCTTTAAAGAGTCAATATAGTTGCTTTTGTATACACCTCTTTCTATTGGCTATAGGCCACCACGGGCCTTTATGTAACCGACTAAGGCCCTGTTCTTTTGAGCCTCTGCTCCGCTGAAATCTGCTATGCTCTGCTATACTCTTCTCTGCTTAAAAATAATAATTAATAATGATAATAATTGATAATTGATATTTGATGAAAATAATAATAATTATTATTAATATTTAATAATAATAACTAATATTTATAGATAATAATAATAATAATTATTATTATTAATAATATTTAATAATAGTAACTAATATTTATAAATAATAATAATTAATATTTAATAATAATAATAATAATTAATATTTTATAATAATAATAATAATTAATATATAATATTAATTGATAATAATAACTAATATTTAATGATAATAATTAATATTTAATATTATTTAACACATTTTTTAAAGTTATAAAAAGAGTAAAAAAATCTAAAAAAATCAAATAATAATAATATTAATGATAACAATAATAATAATAAAATAATGCGATAATAATAATAATAATAATATTAATAATATTAATAATATTATAAATAATAATAATAATAATAATAATAATAATTAATGATAATAATACGATAATAATAATAATAGTAATAATACTAATAATAATATTAAAAATATTAATAATAATGATAATATTAATAATATAAAAAATAATAATAATAATAACAATACAATAATGCAATGATAATGATTATATTAATAATAATAATAATAATTGTGAAATCTGCTTTGCCCTGCTGAAATCTGAAATCTGCTTTGCCTTACTGAAATCTGCTCTGTTGTGCCAGAAACTCAAAATAACAGGGTCTAATGGTCATATATGGTTCGAAACAACATAATATGACCCCAAGATGCATCCCCTATGATTCCATGAGTTTTCGACATAATCTTGAAACCTCCAAATTTGGTCCGATTTAGTGTATTATATAGCCTTTAGTTTTGGTTCAAGATTATGTATCGAGGTGCTTCCTAAGAGACCTTGGGAGTCCTATTTGGTGTCCAGAACCAACTCTTTCATGCCTTGGTCCACCCTCAATCATCATATCTTAAGATTCATTCCATTGTCTTGCCTTGGCCTTGTTACCTTGTCTTGGCCTTGCCTTGCATTGCCTAGATTTGTCCTTGCCTTTGCTATGGCCCTAAGACAAGCCAAGCACTAACCACAATTGCCAAAAATTGATGATTTTATAAGGATGTGGTGTTTTAATGGTTTGTCTTTGTGCACATGCTACACTCCTACAAAATGGTCGTGCCTTAGCTAGGATGAACCATCCAACGCCCCAAAGCTTAGGCGTTGTACCGTGGCCAATCCCATACTTAGCATTTTTACCACCTAAGATGCATCGCTAACCTTGTTTAGCAAAATATAGGTATTTTAGGAAATATGGGGGGAGGGGAGGGACATTTGTGGTTGTGTCTTGACATAGCAGTACCAATCGAGCACATGTGAGTGGTGATCGATTTTTTTGTTGTTGTGGGCTCCATGCTTGTGCATCGAACCACACGCTAATAAACTGTAGAGAAATTATAATTAAAGGTCAAAAAGACTAAAGAATGGGTCTCCCCTCCTCCCTTTCTTCTTCTCACCTTGTGGTGGCTTTTACACATAATTGAGCAAGGTCATTCCACATTGTGAAATACTCGCCAAGATTAACTTTTACCACAACGAAAATAGAAAGATTGCCCTATACTCACCAAGGAGTTGACACTGAAATCTTGATACTGTTACACCTTCGTTATATACCAACAGTTACCAAACCAAATGCAAAATTGGTCAGTTGCAAATTCCAAAATCTGTACCCCTCCTCAAGCAGTAAGTGAAGAAGAGCTCACGGTGCTGCATGATACATGAAATGCAAGCCTAATTTGCCTTTGGGTGGAACTAGAAAAGGCTTTAGAACTGGAAATTTCAAAAGTTTACAAGAATCACTACATAATTTAATTTAGAGATATCTTGAAGAATATAAACAAAGCATGGCACAACAGCATGTTTCTAACCTACATCAAAGGGAAGGTTTCCCCAAGTCAATGAAAGCCCACTACATCTAGGGTTTTACTGGAAATCAAAAACCCCTAAAATAGTAAAATATGAGTTACTAGACGTATATAAATACAGATATGCAGCAAGATAATGAATGACAAGCTTGAATACCTACAGCTCATATGTGCATATGTTGATGAGCTTTATCATGAGAGCAGATGTCAAAAATGGCGCAGAAAAGTAAATGGACACAGCCATATGACATTGTCAATAATAGATTGATACTAAAGATGGTATAGAAATAAGTTTCACATATGATACTGGTAAAAGAGGCAATATAATCCTAACCTACAAGTTACTACAGAGGAAGCATTGATTTGTAAGTAGTTCAATGAAAAAAGGTGAGAAAGATTCAGCAGTCCACTTTTAACCTTCAAATTGCTGACTATGATGCAAGAAGATAAGTCCTAGATAGACCTAATAAGCTTGGAATTAGGGTGACAATGATTAGAACCAAAACTAATACGACAATGGCACTGGTGTTTCATAGGTAAACTAACTGGCATTACTCCTTTCAAGGTAAATCGGCTACAGATTCTTCATTAAGATGGAATGCTTTAGCCAAAGTTAAAATAAAGATGTCACAAAAAGCAAAGACGATGATCATTAATCTTATCCACTTTTTTCTTTATGAGGGTAAGAAGGTCCACAGCCTGAGGGCATCAACAGATCGCCATTAGAGAAAGGGAAAAGATTTAAAAAAAAAAAAACTAATTCCTAGCTGGATTGAACCATATAAAATGCCTCATTTATTGGTTCCTAATACGAACATTCAAAAACAATTTATTCAAAGTATTCATCAAGTTACATCATTCAGTAAATCTAAAAGGCACAAATGCTTCGAAAAGAAGCAACGTTTCGTCAACCAATAACAAAACCAGCATCTAATACAATATGAAATAAGAAAAGTAAGATTTAAAGACAAAAACCTATGATCCGCATCTGCAGCACAGATAGAAAAGATAACAATTTTGTTGCTGGGGAAAGGGGAAAATTTGGGCTTTCAAATGATAAAACGGAAGACTGCTAAGCTCACCTGAATGTTCTGGTTGATTTTCTACTGTCTTCTTAGTAGAATCACACAATGAGTTTGCATCCATATCCCCACTACAATCCACATCCTGCTCCTTAATGGAAGGTTCAGTAGGCTTCAACTTCACAGCGGGCCTTTTCACCAATGATAGCTTGCAAAAATGGTAAGAATTTGTGCTGATAGTGACCGAGGGTGTCCTACCAAAAAGAATCTAACATCAGAAGCCTACAAGCCCACTTACATGAACAACATTGAATAGCAAGGCACACACATAGTTGGCAACAAAATATGTTTGCAGAAGGAAATTAGGGTCTAACCTGGAAAGTCCTCCATTTTCAAAATCCCACAACTTTATTGTTCCATCCCTGCCCTGACTACAAAGAATAACCCAAGCAATCAGCTAAGAGAGAAAAAGGAGCCAAAATGTCACCACAAAATTGCACCAATTCAATTTTTACACAGATATTAAAGAGAAGTAATATAACCTAAGAACTTTGTCACCTCCAATAGAAGGATCGGAAGCAACACACATAATCCCATGAGCTGCACTGTGAACCCTACAACAAAAAAAATCACCTAGTACAACTCACATTTTCTTCATACAAAAACAATTCGATAAATTAATCAAAACAAAGGCGCATGAATGATTTCTTGTAAATGATGAAATCTTCATTGTACAAAGACCAAGGTACAAGCACATGGGCAAAGAAACAGCCTTGATTGTATCATACATAAGATACAGCCATTTGTACATTCAAGATGAAACAAATACCACGCAGAGTATAATGTCCGGTGTTGTGCTGTGTCCCATATCCTTAACTCACCATCAGAAGAACTGCAAACCATCCACAATATTTTGTAACTAAAATAACATCTCAAGTTCCAATGACTAACACAATAGAGTATAACTGAAACAGTAAATTATATACCCAGAAAACAACAAGGGTTTACTCCAATGGAAGCAAACATCCATAACCGACGCACGGTGCCCTCTTAGCACAGCAATTGGATCAGGGGGTGGTCTCTTTTGGCTCATTCTTTCACTCTGCAACTAATTTGTCCTAATTAAACTTCTCTTCTTTCCCTAAAACTCTTATATTTCTTCAAGCAGCATACTATGCATTCCCAACAATTACAACAAAAAAAAATGGTGTAAGCTGCAATTCTAAAGGCGGGAATAATCTAACAGCAACAATTCATCATATCTTTCATTTGAATTATAAAGTAATACCCACATAATGTTCAAGCCCCTCTTACATTTGCATATAAAGATTATATCTTTGCAATTTATTTCTTTATATTGAAAATTTTATCAGGTTAACAGTGTCATCTTTCTAATAATATTTCAAGGAAATTTATTTTATTTTACTGAAAACAAACTTACCCCAAATAAAATTGGGTGGCTTGCCGGAGATTTTATATCGAAATTAACTTGTAACATTAGCTGATTTTTCAATTTACTCCCAAACTTTTTATTTTATTTTTTACTGGAAAAATCAATAGGAAGAAAATATAGCTACAGTATATGTGCTGAGCATATTGACCAAGAAGAAACAATGGAAATTGCCCAAAAATTAAAAAAAAAATTAAAAAAAAAAAAGGAATGAAGTGGTATGTATCTGGTGATTTGCCTTGCCAGAAACCAGAGTTAACACTGAACAGAGATGAAAGACAACAGAAAAAATGCAAAAAGGATGACTTTAGCCCAGTTATGTATGACAGGTACCTGGGTTTGGACTTTCTGGGGTCTACTAGTCAAGGCCTTGAGGATTGTGAAATCGGGTGTTTGAGTCAGGTCTGGCTAGTTAGAATCATATTATAGGTCTATTAAGAGTTAAGACTGTTTTTTGGATTTCTAGTAGTAGTAACAGGCTGGGATGTGGACCTTCTTACCCTCGTAAAGAAAAAAGTGGATAAGATTAATGATCATCGTCTTTGCTTTTTGTGACATCTTTATTTTAACTTTGGCTAAAGCATTCCATCTTAATGAAGAATCTGTAGCTGATTTACCTTGAAAGGAGTAATGCCAGTTAGTTTACCTATGAAACACCAGTGCCATTGTCGTATTAGTTTTGGTTCTAATCATTGTCACCCTAATTCCAAGCTTATTAGGTCTATCTAGGACTTATCTTCTTGCATCATAGTCAGCAATTTGAAGGTTAAAAGTGGACTGCTGAATCTTTCTCACCTATTTTCATTGAACTACTTACAAATCAATGCTTCCTCTGTAGTAACTTGTAGGTTAGGATTATATTGCCTCTTTTACCAGTACCATATGTGAAACTTATTTCTATACCATCTTTAGTATCAATCTATTATTGACAATGTCATATGGCTGTGTCCATTTACTTTTCTGCACCATTTTTGACATCTGCTCTCATGATAAAGCTCATCAACATATGCACATATGAGCTATATGTATTCAAGCTTGTCATTCATTATCTTGCTGCATATCTATATTTATATACGTCTAGTAACTCATATTACTATTTTAGGGGTTTTTGATTTCCAGTAAAACCCTAGATGTAGTGGGCTTTCATTGACTTGGGGAAACCTTCCCTTTGATGTAGGTTAGAAACATGCTGTTGTGCCATGCTTTGTTTATATTCTTCAAGATATCTCTAAATTAAATTATGTAGTGATTCTTGTAAACTTTTGAAATTTCCAGTTCTAAAGCCTTTTCTAGTTCCACCCAAAGGCAAATTAGGCTTGCATTTCATGTATCATGCAGCACCGTGAGCTCTTCTTCACTTACTGCTTGAGGAGGGGTACAGATTTTGGAATTTGCAACTGACCAATTTTGCATTTGGTTTGGTAACTGTTGGTATATAACGAAGGTGTAACAGTATCAAGATTTCAGTGTCAACTCCTTGGTGAGTATAGGGCAATCTTTCTATTTTCGTTGTGGTAAAAGTTAATCTTGGCGAGTATTTCACAATGTGGAATGACCTTGCTCAATTATGTGTAAAAGCCACCACAAGGTGAGAAGAAGAAAGGGAGGAGGGGAGACCCATTCTTTAGTCTTTTTGACCTTTAATTATAATTTCTCTACAGTTTATTAGCGTGTGGTTCGATGCACAAGCATGGAGCCCACAACAACAAAAAAATCGATCACCACTCACATGTGCTCGATTGGTACTGCTATGTCAAGACACAACCACAAATGTCCCTCCCCTCCCCCCATATTTCCTAAAACACCTATATTTTGCTAAACAAGGTTAGCGATGCATCTTAGGTGGTAAAAATGCTAAGTATGGGATTGGCCACGGTACAACGCCTAAGCTTTGGGGCGTTGGATGGTTCATCCTAGCTAAGGCACGACCATTTTGTAGGAGTGTAGCATGTGCACAAAGACAAACCATTAAAACACCACATCCTTATAAAATCATCAATTTTTGGCAATTGTGGTTAGTGCTTGGCTTGTCTTAGGGCCATAGCAAAGGCAAGGACAAATCTAGGCAATGCAAGGCAAGGCCAAGACAAGGTAACAAGGACAAGGCAAGACAATGGAAGGAATCTTAAGATATGATGATTGAGGGTGGACCAAGGCATGAAAGAGTTGGTTCTGGACACCAAATAGGACTCCCAAGGTCTCTTAGGAAGCACCTCGATACATAATCTTGCTGGGCTCAAAAGTGTTCTCTGGAAACCAAAACTAAAGGCTATATAATACACTAAATCGGACCAAATTTGGAGGTTTCAAGATTATGTCGAAAACTCATGGAATCATAGGGGATGCATCTTGGGGTCATATTATGTTGTTTTGAACCATATATGACCATTTTATCTTTACCATCCATATTCTCCCCAACCCTAACTTTCACAGCCTTCCTTTCCTAACCCTAACAAACACCTGGATCAGCAAAAAACATAAAACCCTTTAATTTTGATCAATTTGGGGCATTCCCTATCTCCATACCCCAATCAACCACTCTCACAATTCAGCAAAAAAAAAAATTATTTCTCAGCAAATTCAACAACATTCAATCAATTCAAAACACCCAGAATTCCAAAAACAAAACCCAAATCAATCTCCACTGCTAAAACAAAGTATTCTAATTCCTCCAAATATAAAATCCCTTTTCCTGTATAATGCCAATGAAAACAGACAAAACAACAATTCATAAACTAGGGTTTTAAAGTTCTAGAGTAAGAAAAATACTGAAACAACAAACACAAAAAACGAAAAGGGGAGCTCAGAAATTACCTAAACAAACCAATGGAGCAATTTTCCCAATTGAAATTCCCGAAAACCTGAAGCTTTAGATGTTAAAGCTTTGGATATAGCAGAACCCAGAACACAGAAATTTCACCTAAAGTGAAGAAATATGAAGGGAGTATTTTTATATCTCAATGGATTTTTTTGGGGGAAGAATATAACGCAATTATAGGGCTGTTCACAACCGGGTACCCGGCTTTTCGGGTACCTGAAGAGGCGGGTACCCGCTTTTACGGGTAGTCAAATGCTCAGCCCATGACCCGACCCGCGAAATTCGGTAACGGGTACCCGACATTCTCGGTTCGAATCAGAGGGTACCCGAATTTAAAATAAAAAAAATAAACCTGCAATTGAATAAAGCCATGTACAGCAACAATTAAAAAGTAATTCTCATATACAAATCAAAGAGAGTCAAAATTCAACCTACAATTTGCAACAAATAATAACCTTTGGGATACAAAATATAGAAAACTTTATGCAAAACGACATTATCAGCTTTCTCCATATCATCCTGACCATTTATCTCACATTCTCACTCGAACCCGATATTGCGTCATTTCCATTGTCGATCTCCGATGACCCACACTTAGAACATTGAGCGCACCGTACTGTAAACGGAGGAGCAGGCGTTGGTGGAAATTTTCCGTTCATCAAAGATTCATTTTCAGTTTTTATCCTCGCCGGTAACGGTGTGTGTGTGTGTTCGTGGGTCGTCTGGTTTGGGGCTTTGAGGGAAAGAGAGGTTGTTGAGAGAGTGAGGGAGGAGGAAAGATCGAGAGTTAAAGCCTAAATTTATGTGGTATGATCACCAGAGAATTAGATAATGCAGGTTTATGGTGGATTGAGATGTAAGAATTTGTGATTTTGATAGTTTGAGTCTTTGAGAGGGTAAGATGAGAGATAAACTGTGTGTGCGGCACAAGAGATAAATGTTTTAGATTAAGTAAAGTCAGTAAACCCTTGACTCTAGAGTAAAAAAATATTTCGGGTAATTAACAAATTATCAGGTACCCGCTTCACTCCATGTCTGGCCCATGACCCAACCCGAAACAACTGTTTTTTAGCGGGTCAGGGACCTAACCCGGAAAAATGCAAATAATTCTCAAATTACCCGTCGGGTATTTTGCGGGTCGGCGGATCATCAGGTCGGGTTTGTTTGAACACCCCTATAACGCATGTGTATAAGTGAAAATGGTGTGGAATATCGATGATGGATGATGTTGAGTACGACGTGTGGATTGCAAAAGGGGTAATCACGGTGGTCGTGATTTAAAGTGTATGGAAGCTGGTGACGTGTGATTGTGACGTGAATAGAGTTAACGTGGAATCTGGAGTGTGATTGTCTGAAGAAGATTGTAAAAATGGTGTGGATGCTCTATTTTTAATGGCGGATGGGATTGAGAATTAGGTAAGATTGTTTAGAAGATTGGCGGGTTGTTGTTTTGAGGTATAATCAGCTAATCGTGATGTGAAATGTATAATAGTTGGTGATCTGTGATGACAGTTGCGTATAAGATATAGTGGTGGCGCGAAAATAATCATCCTCGTATGGTAACTGTTGATTGACAGTTGCGTATAAGCTGGTGACGTGTGATTGTGGCGTGAATAGAGTTAACGTGGAATCTGGAGTGTGATTGTCTGAAGAAGATTGTAAAAATGGTGTGGATGCTCTATTTTTAATGGTGGATGGGATTGAGAATTAGGTAAGATTGTTTAGAAGATTGGCGGGTTGTTGTTTTGAGGTATAATCAGCTAATCGTGATGTGAAATGTATAATAGTTGGTGATCTGTGATGACAGTTGCGTATAAGATATAGTGGTGGCGCGAAAATAATCATCCTCGTATGGTAACTGTTGATTGACAGTTGCGTATAAGATATAGTAGTGGCGCGAAAATAATCATTCTCACATAGTAGTTGTTAGAAACAATTATGAAAGTCGTTATGAATACTATGTTTTCGATAATATATGATATTGGCATTGAAAAAAAAAATACAAAGTAATGTATAGCTATGTACCTCTAAACGAATAATCATCTGATCGTCATGAAAAATACATGAAAAAATAATACCATTATTTCTTTAATGCAATCAGTGTCATAAATCACCAACTTTCATGTATTTTTCATGACGATCAGATGATTATTCGTTTGGGCGTACATAGCTATATATATTACTTTGTATTAATTTTTTTTCAATGCCAATTTCATATATTATCGAAAACATAGTATTTATAATGACTTTCATAACTGTTTCTAACGGTTATTATATGAGGATGATTATTTTCGCGCCACTACTATATCTTATATGTAACTGTCATCAACAGTTGCCATATGAGGATGATTATTTTCGCGCCACCACTATATCTTATACGCAACTGGTCATCACAGATCACCAACTGTTATACACGTTACATCACGATTAGCTAATTATACCTCAAAACAACAACCCGCCATTCTTCTAAACAACCTTACCTGATTCCCAATTCCATCCGCCATTAAAAACAGAGCATCTACACCATCTTTACAATCTTCTTCAGGCAATCACACTCCATATTCCACGATAACTCTATTCACGCCAAAATCACACGTCACCAGATTCCATACACTTAACATCACGACCACCGTGATTACCCATTCTGCAATCCACACGTCGTACTCAACATCATCCATCATCGATCTTCCACACCATTTTCACTTATTAGTGGTAACTAACAACCATCAAATTTCATTAATACAATAACATCTCAAAATCTCATAGAATCAACAAGGATATTGAAGAATTGAAGACATAAGTACAAAACACCTTTCCACCTCTCTTTCTCTCTCTTCTTCGCTGACTCCACTTTCTCTCTCCTCCCATCCTTTGTTTCTCCTGCCTAAAACACAAAGGCCTCGTTTTTCTTTTCCCTCCCAGTAAACACTTCTACACATGCGTTATATTCTTCCCCCAAAAAAATCCATTGAGATATAAAAATACTCCCTTCATATTTCTTCACTTTAGGTGAAATTTCTGTGTTCTGGGTTCTGCTATATCAAAGCTTTAACATCTAAAGCTTCAGGTTTTCGGGAATTTCAATTGGGAAAATTGCTCCATTGGTTTGTTTAGGTAATTTCTGATCTCCCCTTTTCGTTTTTTGTGTTTGTTATTTCAGTACTTTTCTTACTCTAGAACTTTAAAACCCTAGTTTATGAATTGTTGTTTTGTTTGTTTTCATTGGCATTATACAGGAAAAGGGTTTTTATATTTGGAGGAATTAGAATACTTTGTTTTAGCAGTGGAGATTGATTTGGGTTTTGTTTTTGGAATTCTGGGTGTTGCTTGAATTGATTGAATGTTGTTGAATTTGCTGAGAAATATTTTTTTTTTGCTGAATTGTGAGAGTGGTTGATTGGGGTATGGAGATAGGGAATGCCCCAAATTGATTAAAATTAAAGGGTTGTATGTTTTTTGCTGATCCAGGTGTTTGGTTAGGGTTAGGAAAGGAAGGTTGTGAAAGTTAGGGTTGGTGAGGGAGAATATGGATGGTGAAGATAAAAAGATTGGCCTCAAAAAGAGGTCTAAAGGGGTTGAGATTAATTTAGATTCTGATGATGATGAGCCAATTGGGGCTTTGTTCAAGTTGAAAAGCAAGAGAAACCCGAAGAAGGTTAAGTTGGGATCAGATGGTGAGAAGGGTAAGGAGTCAGGGGTTAAGAGTAAGATTGTAGATGGAGATTTAGGGGGAATGGAGGATACCTTAGCAAGCTTTAGGAAGAAGTTGAAGGGTCCTAAGAAAGATAGTGGTCCTGGGAGTTTAGTGAAGAGGGACTTGGTGTCGAAACTGGCCGAACTTGCGGATGAATGTCTTAATGCTTCGCAGAAGGATGAGGGTCTCGTAACTAAGCTGGTCCAAGGTGCTGAGGATGAAGCTTGTGATGTGATTTCAGAGTTAAGTATAAGTCAAAAGTCAGAGAAGAAGCGAAATGAAAAAAGTAAGAAGTCCAAGGCTGCAGTAGCTGAAAAGAGTCCTACAGTGCTTGTTGAAGCAGATGACATTGAGATGCTGGATGGTAATTCATCAGAAAACCAGGTCAAGAGACGGGAAGGTTTGATGAGCCCGGAAAACAAACATAAGAAGAAGGATATGAGGTCCAAGTCTTCTTCAGCTGCAAAGAGTCATAGGGTTTCTGTTGATAGAGATGACAGTGAGGTACCAGACAACCATGCATTAGGTGATCAGGTAGAGGAGAAGGAAGGTGCATCTACTAGCCCTTTGAATGACAATTTGACAGATTCTCTTTCCTCCTTTTTAAGAAAGACACAGTCTGGTATACGCAAGAAGTTGCGTGCTGCTTCTGTTTCAAACTCTAGGAAGGGAGGGCATCTGCAGGAGAAAGATCAGTGTCCAAGCTCAGGTCGTGTTTCCATAGATTTTCAATCTACAGTTGAAAAGAACTCTCTTTCAGATGCAAAATGTAGAAGTAATAGTCATAAATCAGAAGATTATCTTATTGATAGTGGCCGAATCGGCTCCATTGCTCCCCACTGTGAGTTAGTGAGAGATCAGGGTTTAGACACTCTACTTGGTAAAGGGTCTGGAAATGTGCCAATCAAGGATCCTGCACATATTGATAGTATGATTACTGATATAAGTACGGAACTTGACACTTGCAACTCTGTTGTGGACCATTCATATCCAGCTTCCCAATTAGTTGCTTGTTCTGAGTTAAATAGAGTAGAAATCAAAATTGGTGAATCTTGCAAGGAGGTTGAAATGGTCCAGGAACAGCCTCAAATTGTCTTATCAAATAAAATCTGTGAAAAAGATGCAACAAAGTATCCTGTTGCAAAGGCTTTTAACCAACATATTTCTTGTTCTCAAGATGCTCAACCCCAGAATGGAGTTGGGATTTTTGTACCCTTAAATGCCAGCAGCATGGTGAATGATGCTCCCTGTTCTACCTCCAAATCAGATTTTGTGGAAGAATTACGTGGGCCAACCAAGTGTGAGGCTACTGTTAGATCTGATAATGACTGTATTCAGCATGATATGGACACTTCAAGAGCTGATCCAGTGTGTGCTTCTGATCAAAATAATGAAGGTGATGCTCTCATCAGGATCGATGTCAGTGAAGGAGCCAATGGAATTTCTCCCTCCCCATCCATCACACCAGGTGAGAATGACGCTTATCAAGAAAATTCTGGATGCTTTCCGGAGTCCAACAACCAGTGTAATTCCGTGTTGAATGATCGTGCTGTCCGGAGAGCGAAAAAGCGGAAAGATGGCGACATGGCTTATGAGGGTGATGTTGCTTGGGAGGTCGTGATGCATGAGCATGGCTCTCTTGATTTGTATCATCCTGTAGATAGAGACCTGGGCTCTCAGTCGAAGGAGAGATTTGATTCTTCTCCAAATGCAGGCCTTGACTTTGAGGTTGGTGGAGCTGCTGCAGTGTCAGTTGGCCTCAAAGCTCGCGCAGTTGGTCTTGTGGAGAAGATTAAATTCAAGGAGGTCTTGAAGCGCAAAGGTGGATTGCAAGAATACTTGGAATGCAGGTTAGTACTTTGTTTAGAACTGGATCGCTGTAGCGTTACTTATTGTGCTAGTTAATTTTCAGGTTGTTATTAGTTTTGAATCATTCTCCCATATTATCTTTATTGTGATAAAGTTCTACCAGGTGCTGTATTTTGGTCTTTGATTATTAATCTTGAGATGTTTAGTTTTTGTTGTGAAATTATATTTTGTTTCTTCCATGTGGGAAATCCAATATATTATTGGAATGTGGAAGTAGACATCATTGTCCTGTTAATTTATGTATATTTTCAAGGTTACTTATGACAGACCTGCTTTACGAGAAACGATTTTTTGACACCATTGTTTTGTTTAGCTCTGAATGTTGGTTTGATTTAAATATTAGGATTTCCTAAATTTTTGTGATATGTCTGCATGTTTTATGTTTGTATCTCATCCTTAAAAATTTATTTCAATTGGAATTCTTGGTTTGATGCAATGCAGGAACAAGATTTTGAGTCTTTGGAACAAGGATGTCACCCGTGTGCTGCCTCTTGCTGATTGTGGCATTGCTGCAACTCCATCTGATGATGAACCTCAGCGTGCTTCCTTGCTGAGGGATATCTACTCATTTCTTGACCAAAGCGTGAGTAGTGTTTACTGTATTTTATCAACTTCAGCTTTCTCCATCTTCTCTTCCATCACAATTTTATTTCTTCCTTTGTGATTTTCCCCTTTTATCTTTTCTCACTAATACTTGAAACAGGGATATATAAATGCTGGAATTGCTGCTAACAAAGAGAAGGCAGAGCCCAAATCTAGAGGGAATTATAAACTGTTAGGAGAAAAAAAGTTTGAGGGAGGTTCTGGGGCTTCTGTTGCTGACTCAGTAGATGGAGTATCTTTTATCCTTGGTCAGGTCAAAAGCCTTGATACATTCCCTAAGGCAGAGGATGGGGTTGCTTTTGCTGATGAGAACCCCACAGAAGAAGATGTGAAAGCTGGTGTTGAAATTATACTCGATCAATCTTCTGATAAGCAGCTTGATGAATGCCAAGGTGAAGGGGAACCTGATGAGCCATGCATTGATGAGAAAGCATCTACAGAAAATCTTGAATCAGACTTCTCAACTGCTGATATACTGGGGAAGAGTCTCGATAATGCTGTAGACCCTTGTCTGCCAATGACTCATGAGCATTTGGAGGCCAATACATGTGACTTGGATAGCAAGAAAAGGATCATAGTAGTGGGAGCTGGGCCTGCAGGTTTAACTGCAGCACGCCATTTGCAAAGACAAGGATTTTCTGTCGTTGTGCTTGAGGCGAGGAGTAGGATAGGTGGTCGGGTTTATACCGACCGCTCATCACTTTCAGTTCCTGTGGATCTTGGGGCGAGCATTATTACGGGAGTTGAGGCTGATGTGGCTAGTGAAAGACGACCAGATCCTTCATCTTTGATTTGCGCTCAGTTGGGTCTTGAGCTGACAATACTAAACAGTGATTGTCCACTTTATGATATCAGAACTGGTCAAAAGGTTCCTCCAGATGTTGATGAAGCTTTAGAAGCGGAGTTCAATAGTCTTCTCGATGATATGGTGTTTGTTGTTGCAAAAAAAGGAGAAAGTGCTACAAGAATGTCTCTTGAAGATGGTTTAGAGTACGGTCTTAAAAGACGCCGTCAAATCCTTTCTGAAACAGACAATGGAAAATATGGAATATTGCGGCCGTTGACTGGCACCGTCAATCATGAAATGGGTTCTGAGGGCTACCATTCTGCAGAGCAGAATGTTGGTAGGGATGGAACACTCAGTCCTCTTGAGAGGAGAGTTATGGATTGGCATTTTGCTCACTTAGAGTATGGTTGTGCTGCATTGCTGAAGGAAGTATCTCTTCCTCATTGGAACCAGGATGATATTTATGGAGGATTTGGGGGTGCTCATTGTATGATTAAAGGAGGTTATGGAGCTGTTGTGGAATCAATAGCTCAAGGACTTTCCATCCATTTGAACCAGGTGGTGGCTGACATTTCATATGGTGCAGTGGGCTCAGTAGGATCTGATAATTGCTCATACAAGGTAAAAGTGTCAACTTTCAGTGGCAAGGAGTTTTTCGGAGATGCCGTTTTGATAACTGTGCCACTTGGTTGCTTAAAAGCGGAATCCATTAAGTTCTCTCCACCATTGCCACAGTGGAAACATTCAGCAATCCAGCGGCTGGGTTTTGGTGTTCTCAATAAAGTAGTCCTGGAGTTCCCTGAAATATTTTGGGATGATACTGTAGATTACTTTGGAGCTACAGCTGAGCACTCTGACTTAAGAGGTCGCTGCTTTATGTTCTGGAACATCCAGAAAACAGTTGGAGCTCCTGTTCTCATAGCATTAGTTGTTGGTAAAGCAGCTAAAGAAGGACAGAATATAAGCCCCTCTGATCATGTAAATCATGCTTTGAGGGTTCTACGTAAATTATTTGGTGATACTGCTGTTCCTGATCCAGTTGCATCAGTAGTGACGGACTGGGGAAAAGATCCTTATAGTTATGGTGCGTATTCTTATGTTGCTGTTGGAGCTTCTGGGGAAGACTATGATATAATAGGTAGACCAGTTGAGAATTGTTTGTTTTTTGCTGGTGAAGCTACCTGCAAGGAGCATCCAGATACAGTAGGTGGTGCAATGATGAGTGGGCTGCGAGAGGCAGTTCGTATAATTGACTTATTGACTACTGGTAATGATTACACAGCAGAAGCAGAAGCTGTTGAAGCTGCCCAGAGACAATCAAGCAGTCAGAAAAATGAAGTTAAGGACATTGCAAGAAGGCTTGATGCAATTGATCTCTCCAGTTTCCGCTATAAGAGCCCATCAGATAGATCCCAGCTTTTTGCTAGAGAAAGTCTACTGCAGGATATGTTCTTTAGTGCCAAAACATTAGCTGGACGATTGCGTCTGGCCAAAGAGCTATTAAGTCTTCCTGTTGAATCTCTGAGGTCTGTTGCTGGGACAAAAGAAGGGCTTGGTGTACTAAACTCATGGATATTGGTGAGATTTGTACTGACACTTTTTCTCTTGAATGGAAGATGGACACAACAATTGCTAATGTTGTGTTTTTGCTTTGAAGTCTCTAGTACTGAAGCTGAGAGATTGTTAAGATTGCAATTTAACGTTTCTCTTACATATTGACAGGATTCCATGGGAAAAAATGGAACTCAACTCCTGCGTCTCTGTGTCCATATACTTGTGTTGGTTTCCAGAGACTTGGTAGCTGTCCGGCTGTCAGGTATATGCAAGTTGTTTTTATCTCTTTTACTAGCTACTTTGCTAGACATCAAAGAAAGTTGTTCATTGGTATCTTTTCTGTCATTTGATGGTTTCGGTATATTTTAATACTTTTAAAGTTTTGTGCATATATTTGGTTTGCAGTATAGATCACTTTTACAAATGTTCAACTCATCTATTGTTTTCCTTTCCTTCAAATTAACTTTGCTTTGGTTCCTGCAAAAATAAGATCTATGTGCACTAGTAGTGATATTAGGATGCCTGTATGTTTTCCTGCATTTGACGTGGTACATTTCAGCTGATATCTCATACTATGAATTCTTTGGATTTTTAATGTAGGTATTGGAAAAACTGTCAAAGAGAAAGTCTGCGTTCATACTAGTCGTGACATACGCAGCATCGCAAGCCAGTTGGTTCACATGTGGATTGAGGTTTTCCGTAAGGAGAAGGCTACGAATGGTGGCTTGAAATTATTGAGGCACATGACAAATGCAGATTCTTCAAAAGCAAAAGGGAAAGATCCAGGTTCAAGGAAACCTCCTATACATATGCAGCATTATGCGGCTGGAAATAAGGTCAATTCAAGCTCAAAAAAGCTAGCTGTTAAGCAAGTGAAGTCAGAAAATGCAACTGGCTCAAAAATGGATGCTTGGTCATCAGCATCACAAATTTCAAATGGCTCACCTGGTAACAAGTTAGAGGAGGGTGGGAACATACCATTGTCAGAAGAAGAACAGGCTGCTCTTGCTGCTGCAGAGGCTGCCCGTGCTGCTGCGGCTGCAGCTGCTGAGGTATGCCCCCCCCCCCCCCCCCACAAAAAAAAAATAATTTATTACTGTTCAGCTTATAAATGGAAAGGTACAACTTACAAGAAAGGGAAGGAAAAGGAAAAGAAAATAACGAAAAATTTTAGTAAATCAGGAAGGTACACTGTAAGCATGTATTTATCTCTTGAACATATAACCTTATTTAGTTGCTAATGCTCTTTAAGGGATTGGTACAAAAGATGTGGGCTTTCACGTTATGAGCCTTAACTAACTTGAAGATCCAGAGGATAAACCAGGAAGCATCAAAACTAGATTTTTAAGTGAGATACATCATAATTAATAAGATATTGAAAGATCAATTGAATTCTGATTTGGCATCTCTTGTTTATATGGTCTGTGTTTGGCCCTTTGATAATAGTAATCACTTATCTTTGGATGGGGTAGAATTGGGTATTGTATGTTTTGTCATTAAACTTAACAATTACTTGTGTTGCTTATTGCTAGGCCTATGCATCATGTGAAGCTAGAGTGAGTATGATGCAGTTACCGAAGGTACCGTCTTTTCAGAAGTTTGCTAGGCGAGAGCAGTATTCACTAGTGGATGATATCGAGCGAAAAAGATGGTCTGGTGGTGTTTTGGGAAGACAAGACTGTTTATCAGAAATAGACTCAAGAAATTGTAGAGTTAGAGATTGGTCCGTTGATTTTTCAGTTACATGTGCCAATATTGACAATTCAAGAATGTCTACCGATAACTTTTCACAACGGAGCCATTCAAATGAAATGGCATGCCAATTAAACTTGGGAGAGCATTCTGGAGAAAGTGCGGCTGGGGACAGCACTGCATTTACTAAAGCTTGGGTTGATTCTTCTGGTAGTGATGGGATAAAGGACTACCATGCCATTGAGAGATGGCAGTGCCAGGCTGCAGCTGCTGAGTATGAATATCAATCTTCCGTACATGTTGAGGATGAGGAAGATTCAAGCACAATGTCAAGACATCTCACAAGGAAGCTAGAAGGAATGGTTAATGAGAGTTCTGTTTCACAGGTGACAATAAACAAGGATTTGGCTGCTAACCAGCATATAGGAACTGAGCATATTAAGCAGGGTGTTGTTGATTATGTAGCTTCGCTGCTCATGCCTTTGTACAAAGCGAGGAAGATTGATAAAGACGGTTATAAGTCGATAATGAAAAAGAGTGCAACAAAGGTCAGATACAATTTTTAATTGACAGCCATATTCAATACAAGCACTACTTTATATTTTATATTATTATCGCTCTACCAAGATAGTACAAGGGGAATATTTAGTTTCCCACAAATGTTTTAAGTGCCATTTTCAATACATTGACATCATTTTTGTTTAATTTCTCAGGTCATGGAGCAGACAACTGATGCCGAAAAAGCAATGGCTGTCTGTGAGTTTCTTGATTTTAAGCGCAAGAATAAGGTAAGACTTAGTTTCTTTTTAGCTGGCGTTATTTTTTTTTTTTTTTGGTAAATACCTACCTTTGCCTTTCATCTGATTGTGATGGCTTGCCTTAATCTTCTAGTTTTACTCCCTCTTGTTTTTAACGAACTCCCATAGTATTTCTTACTATTGTCTTTTTACTCCAAATTCCTTGATCAGAAGAGAAGTTATATTTACTTAACCCCTAAACACTGTTGGTCACCTACAACTATATTTTAAAAGCCTTCCGACAAGAGTTGCCCTTCAACTTTCTATTTTCCCATGTTACAACTCTTGATGATACTTATTTAGAAATTCAGAATTATATTACTTTGGTGGGTTGAGCTGAAAAAATTAATATAGTGAGGTATAGTTATGATACAGTACATATAAGTCATTTTCTTTTCAGTCAATCACTCAATTCCTAATCGATTGTGATCTACTTATATTATATTATTCACGGATGGAGAGAATATCTTCTTTGATGTTGTTGCCTTTCATCTTACTGTTGACCTTTTGCCTCTTTTTTTATTTTTTTTAATTTTTTTGGTGTTCACCTGTTGCATTGAGCTTAATGAAATAGGTTTGAATACTTTCTTATAAAATGCGGAAGCTAACTGAGAAGTAGTGTCGTAGTTATTTGTTGAATGACTTTCTTTGAGGCTTTGTTTTGCAAATGGGGGCAAAAGGCAGAATCCCATTACCCTTGTCTCAGTTCTCGTAGTTGTGGTTGAAAGTTGTGCTATCTATCTGCCCTCAAGGATATACCTATAAGGCTATAATATGCTTAGTAATAACAATGCTATTTTAAAACTAAAAAAAGTAACAATGTTCTTATGTGATTATCAATATTGACGAGGTTAGTGTTAGTAGTATCATATGAATGGCTATTCTATATCATTACTTATACCATCTCTTTGCTTGATGAATTGCAGATTCGCGCTTTTGTTGACAAGTTGATCGAGAGACACATGCCAATGAAGCCAGTAGTGAAACCTTGATGTGCTGCCGTAGTATGCAATACATACAAACCATCAAAGCACTTGGTGACTGGGATGTTGGATTGTGGACAATAGTAACCTTGTTTTGGCATATCTTTTGGCATTTGCCTAAGACAATTAGCTCTTAGAATCTTGTTCGTGTAAAGGAGAAACAAATCACAGAATTTCCTGCTGTCTATTGTGGGTGGATTTACGCAGCTTTCTGGCATTTCTGAAGTTGTTCAGACATTCTCACAGAAATACTTGTCTGAGCTTTGTCTAGGCTTCTGCTGATTATGTGAAGCAAGTGTTGCGACCTCTTCCATATCTGCCATAGAGACCAGTTCCATTTGAAGAAAACATGGTTTTTTGAATGCATTCTTTCTCTGCATCAACTGTACTTCTCAGGGTGGAAAAGAGCACCCCAAATTTTTTTAGTTTAATTTTTTTTTTTTCTGCACAGGGATTATTCATAGATGAAAACCTCAGTTTTGTCTTTTAACATTGTACAGAATAGGATTGTTTCCATTAGTATACAACACCTTTTCTTCTCTGTGGGAAGATCATTAAATATTTTTCCTCCTATTGGTACTAAGGGCATATGTTTTGTGCTGGCTTGGAAAACAAAAAAACTATTTGTTTCCTTGAATGTTTTGATATGCACACCTTCATCATGGAAGCTTTTTTTGAGAATATGCATGGATGCCTGTTTATGGCTGGATGTATCATATGCATCTCAAACACTGGATATGCATAATTGAATTGCGGGTGCAAGTGAGATGCATGAGAGGCATACTCACACTGAACTGGTGAGAAAAGGTTTTTGGCCCTTGGTGTTATATAATATATATCCATCATTGCAGATTGAAAGATATGTTATTTTTACTGATTGAATGATAGATGAAAGTCATCTGTGTCTGGATTTATATCTGGTTTGTTTGAGTAACTTTGTCGTGATATATATTTTTGAAGTTGATGTTACTTATAGACTTTGTTCTCTTCTATGTCCCTTCTTCAGATAGACTCAATTGAAGTCAATTTTCTTTGCAAAGGATGGATTCAAATCATTTATGTGCATGGAAACAAGCTCTACTAACCTCAAACTTCTGTGGTCGGTTTGGCTTCTGCACAAGGTAAGTGAAAAATAGAATTAATACCTTAAATATCCTGATTCTTTTAGGTATTTTATTACAATAGCTTGGGTGGACTTTGGGGGGGGGAGGGGGGGGGGGAGTATATGATGAAATAGGTAATAAATTAATTTCTTAGTTATCTCTACTTAATGCTTATGAACTTATTATGGTATGTAATGATTCTTGATGATATGAGATGTTAGTTCATTTATAGAATTTCTTTACTTATCGAATGATCAAATAGGTACTTTCTCCTTCATCAATACGCAGTCACATTTTCCCAATCCTTCATGATTAAGGTTATGACGTATTTATGCAGCGAAACCCTTAAAAATAGGTATGCCATCATAATCCTCTACTTATCACTATAATGATATATGTAGATATGTAGTGACCTATTAGGTATTTTCATTATGACCCATTACGCTGATAGGAAATGTGCCAACTTTTTCTGGGCTTCAGTAATAGTTTATCTGGCTATTGATTCCCAATAGGAGTATATTGTCAGTAATGAAGTTAATCAATAATGAGATATTTATGTGCAATTCTTTCATTTGACATTTCAGGCCTCAACGCTCAAAAGAGTTGCAGATTTGCACTTGTGGTTAAACTAAAATGAGATAGCTATTAGCCTATTACTGCTTAATAATTTTGATGTGAGGATGATTAAGATTTCTGCTTGTTAAGTATCTATTTTTCTTTTTCTTTTTTCTTTATTTTTTTTATTTTTAAATTTGAGTTCTGAATTAATTACATCTAAATGATTCAAGTCGAGTAGATGCGGACATGCAATTCTTGTTATTTACTGTTTTTTTACTTTATATTTGACTAAGAAATGGGAAGAGCATACTCATGGTTTGTTCCCCAGCCATGTCAGGAAAGCGTTCAAGATGACAATATGCTAATTTGTATGCTTACTACTTGAGCAGAGTATAAACAGTAGCATATATGCAGTAATTATGAACTGCCATTACTTTGCACTATCTTGCAGACCTCTCATGTCTGAAACCTGAGGAAATTTAAAACATTTTGCCGTGGATAAGTTGCTGGGGGCTGTTAATTATCAGAGTGAGTTCCTCTTATTGTTCTTTTCAAAAAATCTTAGTTGTTAATTGTGATTCTGCATACAGATTGTTTTTGTGGAGTTATGGAAGCTAGAGATTTAAAAAACAGATCTGATGTTGGGCATCCCTCACCTGTTACAAATTCTGAGCTCGAATACTCATTTCTATTTCTCTTGAGTTTTGTAATTACATTATGGCATGCAATGTAAGTGCCATAGAACTTTGAATCAATAATAATTCTCGTTTCTTGTCCCAGGAACCCTTTTTGCCATATTTTCGCCACATTTTTATTCTTTTACTGGCTTTATCTTAAATTCAATTGTTGTCATGATAGTTTAAATTGAATTTGTTATGTTGATAGTTTAATTGGACTAGTAATGGGATATGTAGATGAAATGAGTATATTGTAGGACATCTTTTGCACGGGGTGTCAATTGTAATATGGAGTAATATTTATAATTCTCCACTCCCCCTATGTGTTTATGTGCAGAGCTCTCACGGGAAGAATCGAAGAACCGTTTTGTGCAGTTGTATTTAGTCTTTTGCCCACGATTTTTAAGAATTTTAATCCACCCTTTTTTTTTGGTGCGTAAAATGATTAAATTTTATACTCTATTTTTTTCTTCCTTTGCTCTCCTAAATATCTTGACAATAGAACTATTGTACTCTTTTTGTCATCATATAAAAGTTTTATTTGCTTTTGTACACAGATTTTGGGGAAATAAATAAGAAAAAAAATAGTAATTTTGATTGACAAAAAATAAATGAAGGTAAAATGAGACTTTTCTTTGAGATTAGTGACAATTTCACATGTATGATCATATTAAAAAAAAAACTTCGAAATGAAAACAATTGTTTTGGGTTTTGCGGTGTCCGACACTGTGCGGAAATAAAACATGATAATTCGGATCGCATGCATAGTAATTATAACATAACAAAATGACATGCAAATAAAGAAAACACAAACATATAAAGAGAAGAGAGAGAAAGAAGCTCACCCTAGACGCGTGCTTCGCTCACTAATCAAGCTCGGACTTGGAAAATTTCAAGCCCTCGCAAATGCAGGATCCCCAACGTCTCACACCCTCGATTACCGAACAGACCCCTACCCCGTAGCTTAGACGGGGTTAGACCAAAATTACTAGAGTTTTACGAACTTAAGGCTTTCTCACTTAATAGGAGATTCTTTTTTAGTTCTACTCAAGTGAGTTTTCCCATTACCCAAGGTAGGTATTTATAGGGAAAAACTCTCATGAGTTTTCACCAACTTTTCATGTGGAAAAGTTGGTGAAATGAGAAAGTAAGCAATTAATTTAATTCCAAATTAATTTAAATTAAATAAGCTATGCAATAGTCAAATGACAAGTGTCAACATGAGGGAGGGAGTGGGTAAGAACCACAAACCTTCCCCTTGGAGAGCAAGCAAGCCCCAACAACCCTATGTGCACGACATGCCCCTATCCTTGGGCCTGAAGGTGTGCCCACTGGCAGCCTTGGCCTTTGGCTGGCCTGCCTCGCAAGCCCAGCTCGTTGCTGGTGTTGCGCCATTGCGGGCTGGCCTTGCTGCCTGCCAGCGCACGCAAACGTCTTGGGCTAGCAGCCTTGCTGCATGCAACGGCTTGCTGGCCTGCTGTGTGCTTGTGGGCTGGCGCTGCTAGCTAGCTTGCTCGGCAGCCAGCACACATTCGTGGCTGCTGGGCTTGCGGCCAAGGCAAGCACATGGCTAGCAGCCTTGCTAGCCTAGCGCGCCTAGCCCTCGCTTGGCTAGGCTAATGCGAGGCTAAGTCTTAGCATGTTGACTTGTCATTTGACTTATTTTCTCGTCTTCTCGATTCGTCGAATCAACTCGACGTTCGACGCTTTAAGCTCGGAATCCGACGTCTTAGTTCATAAAATCTCTATCGACTTATTTAATCCTCCAGATTAAATCGTCGCCTTGGTTCGGTTACATGATTGGGTGTGACCCGAAGGGTTCAGTCAAGAGCAAGCTGTAATATTAATTATACATTAATATTACTGATCGGAAGCGGCTTCCAGCTAGGCATTCCGATCACTTGACCTCACTAAATAATTAGCTTTCCTAATTAGTTCCGAACCCTCTATCGGAATAATACACTTGTTCGAAGGACACCATTCCTTTCAATCTCCTACTTGTCCTTTCAGACAAGTGTGTTGTTTGTGTATAGCCTATTTTCCTATGTCACTTAATGCCTCTTCATGAACTATAAGGTAAGAGTCTTCGTCATCCTTATTACGTCCAGAAGTGTTTCTTGATTTCCAAGTTCGACTCTCAATAAGCAGATGATTTCTAAAATTCATCTGAGCACGACCATGCATTTTCATAGTCTCGCTCTTCGAGAGGCGTTGTAAACAACAAAGACATATTCCATACTGTTAATAGGGTAACATTCTCAGTCTTGCATTATTAACTTCCCTTACTAAGAGTCCCTAGCCGTCCGAGTGTTGCCTTTATAATCCCCTTTTACGGTAGACATTTGACAACATCAAAACGGACTAGTACTCAAACAAGAGAACTAACAATACTCATGTCAAGAAAAAAGGTTCATATAGCCATAATGAGTAATATATTTATGACGATTGTTAAATTTCTTAAAGTATTCTCATAGGTCGATTCGGTATAGTTCCAAACTTATACTTGTGCAAATGATTTATGACAATCTTATCCTTGTAGCACAAGATATGGTGCTATAAATCATACTACACACTAATCTCGCGCGGTCAACAGTCGTCCAACTTTCAAATGGCCTCGATTAGGGATAGTTTCGATATGATATTCAATGTTCACTTAATAGGTGTTTCTTTATCCAAGTCATTGTCTTGATACTCTATTTTGAATATCGTCAAATCGAATGCACTCATTATTTAATTCTAAACCACAATTAAATACTTTGTGGAATTATTAGAATTTTATTTTTTTTTATTTTTTTTTATTCCACTATGAAACTTTTCAACGTTTCATCTTATGATAAATGGTTTTCCCCAAATGTTTTAAGAGTAATATTCTTTACAAAACATTTATAGAAATCACACCCATATGTAACATGCTTGATTTCTTTTATGCAATTGTGAATGTTGTGGTTCACTTATTGCATAGGTTTAGTTATCATTACTTTGCAAATATTAGCATCTTCATTATTGAACACTTTCATTATAAGATGATAAAATTTAAGTGTGTTATGGATTACATGTGATCTAGGATTTATTACCCAAGTGATGGCTCCCACTCATTTTCATGATTTGAGACCTACAACTTGACAACCTATAATCATCAAAGTTCAACAACGAACTATCCATTGAACAACATCCTTATTATTGTCTCTAAGGCAACAATGTTCTCAACATATATTTTAGTAGACTTTCTAATGATGCTTTGTTTGGATTTTACTCTAACAAATTGGCAATGATTTGGGATACCCTAATCACTT